TCACTTGGATTAAATGCTTATTTATATTCTAAAACTTTAAATACTTCTACTGGTTAGATTAAAATATAGAAGCAGTAGATCTTTATTTTGTTACAAAAAAAAGTCTTTGAAAGGTAATTTAATTATAAAAGTCTTCGGATGAATTAAATTGCATGAAACTTTTTATGGTTGGATAATTGTTTATTGATCAATCGTTGAAATGGTTTTTCGACGAAAATAAACCAAATAACAGATATAATGAGGCAAATTATTAAAACAAGTATTAAGCATACAATTGTTAGAATATCGATTGAGTAGCGTGTAGGATCAAATATATGACTGTGAGTCATTATCAATTCTAATGCAATTCGACAATGAATTACATATATCAGATAACTCAATTTAGCAATTGGTGTCCAGATAGGATGCGATAGAAATGATCTAATCCACGGACTATAGTAAGGATGTGTGGGTGGGCAAATAGCCGAAAAGAGAATAAATGCTTGTGCTATTGCAAATATTTGTCGCAATATGGAAACCATGATTGTTAATACTACATCATTGATTGCATTTGGCTTAGGTGGTATCGTCAATATGATCATATATAGGAAAATGAATGTTAAATAAGTATACTTTTTGATCGTTCCATAACGAATCATAGCGTTACTCTTGACATTAATTATATTAAATGCAAGAATAGATCCGATTATAAAACTTGAATATCGACCTAACACTGGCATGTATATTAGTTCCATGAACGATTTTAATGGGCTGGGATCAAGTACCTTGTCAAATCCCAATGTGACATTATATTCAACTGTGACCCAATCAACAAATTGTTGCGTCGCTCCTAGCGCCAAGGCATTATTATGATATGAATGCACCAACAAATCCATAGTCTTTGGATTAAAAACAAGCATTGAATAAACAATGGATAATATAACAAGTATATATAATGCTAAATAAGTCCTCTGATAATTCACTTTCGAGCTGGTGACGATATGTAGAATGATGGGTAGTATAATATGCATTTGCATATCAAGACTGACACTCCAGAGTGCAACAAAACCCCATGAACATTGTTCTATACTAACATAATTTTGATAAAATAGCCAGAAACGTATCCAACCTCCTTGTGATTCACCTAATATCAACATAATTATAGTAATCAGTAAGATACCTGGCCAAAAACGGCAAGCACGTGTCACTATATACAAAGGATATTCTTTCCATGAGAAAGAATCTCGATGTTGAATGAATTTTAGTGTGAGAAGAAAACCAGATAACATAAAAAATGTTTCCAATAATAACACTGCAAGAGGTGATAATCTGTATGTATAACTATTCAAGTAATTCATCCATTCTATATGTGGGTGAGATGGAATAAATGAATTTAATAAGTGACCAATATGTAATGAAACAATAGCTAAACAAGAAATCGATCGCATTCCATTGATCGGAGCATATTTTTCTGATTGAAATAATGAGTAGATATCTTCTTTTAACTGCCACATATTCGCTTTTGTGAATAAAAAATATGTAAGTAATAGTAGAAATGTAACGTGGTCTTGCTATTGTAAAAAAAACCAAGAATGGCGAAAAGAAAAGAGAAAAATATTAAACAAATACTGTTAGGTAGTCATATATATACAGCATCCCATCACCTGTATTATTCTTTTTCTTTTCTATACGAATGAAATGTGCGTTTAGGTGTATCGTTTAGAAGAAAAAAAACAACACTGTTTCAGTACTTCTATGCACTAGTGGAGATTTTTGTTATTACAGTCAATTCCTATATACTCAGCAGTTTTAATGTATAAATTACTCAACATTTGTATATTGTTAAATTTCGATAATTCCTTTCGTTCACTT